ATTCTCCATGGGGATATTTTTGATGTCGTACTCAGTGTTGGGGAGTAACAGATTACAGGTACTGGAGTAATCAGAGTACAAATGATGAGTAACTGTATTCAGTTACAGTTACTGTTTCAGTGAGTGGGAATTGGATTACAGTTACTTTATTGAAATAAATGGATTACACGGTGGTGATTTTCCTGTTTTCATATTTTGGGCTAAACAAGGACTAAAACCAGGACTGAACCAGGTCTAAACCAGGACTAAAACCAGGTCTAAACCAGGTCTAAACCAGGTCTAAACCAGGAATAAACCAGGTCTAAACCAGGAATAAACCAGGACTAAAACCAGGTCTAAACCAGGACTAAATCAGGACTAAAACAGGACTAAACCAGGTCTAAACCAGGTCTAAACCAGGTCTAAACCAGGACTAAACCAGGTCTAAACCAGGTCTAAAAAGGTCTAAACCAGGTCTAAACCAGGTCTAAACCAGGACTAAACCAGGTCTAAACCAGGTATAAACCAGGTCTAAAACCAGGTCTAAAACCAGGTCTAAACCAGGACTAAACCAGGTCTAAACCAGGTCTAAAACCAGGACTAAACCAGGATTAAACCAGGTCTAAAACAGGATTTAACAGGACTAAATCCTGCTGTGTGGACCGTGTCTCCTCGTCTTTTATCAATAATTTTTTTTTTTTTTTTTTTTTTTTTCAGTAAAGTTTGGGCTTTTTATTTTCTTTTATCAGACAAAACATCTCACGTTCTGATTTCCTCGTCTTTGCTTCTCTACAGCAAATCAAGTAATCCAAAGTATTCAGATTACATTACTCACTTTAAGTCAATTTTATGGATTATGTTACAAACTACATTTTGGGGTGTGTAATCTGTAATCTGTAGGGGATTACATTTTAAAAGTCACCTTCCCAACACTGGTCGTACTGTGAAATAGTCGAGTTTCATTGTGGACAAAAACGTGCGCTGCTGGGAATTATTTTGGTCGGCGGCAAGAAACACTAATTCAACATGTTGGACGGAGTGAGAAAACACGTAAAGCAGGACTGTCCAAACTTTTTTCATCAAGGGCCACATATCTGAACCCAGACGAAGCAGAGGCCGATCGAGGGCCACAGACTGATGCTCAAGACAGTGAATGATTGAAATATGTGCACGTAGAACACGTTAGAATGAGCCGTCAGTCCTTTATTCATTTATAAGATCCTTAAAACCGCACACTAAATATTCAATATGAGCTTTATCAAGGTAGATTTTCAATAAACTTGCAGTAAAACAAATTTTTTTTTAACTGATGCAAGGTCATTTGGGCCAATTCACCTGGAAGTCTGAGGGCCAAGAAAAAAGTGTTTTAGGGCCTCATTTGGTCCACGGGCCAGAGTTTGGACATGTCTGCACTAAACAAACAACAAAACTGTAGCTGTAACAAAATAAATGAGTAAAAATACACCAAAAAAATACTCTTGGTGATATATCGAAACAGCAGGCAACGATATCGATACTGTATCATCAAATTAAACAATACGATATATCGATATTTTGATATTTTTGCACAACATTAGTTTTCAGTGCCATAATAATTGGCAAATAATTAGACAAAATTGTAAAAGCGTTGTCTGAGGGCCAAGAAAAATTTGTCTGAGGGCCGCATTTGGCCCCCGGGCCATAGTTTGGACATGCCTGACGTAAAGGGTATTGATCCCGGTTATTTATCCACACTAGCTGCAGAACATCCAGAACGCTGCAGCTCGGGTCCTGACTCGAACTAGGAAGTACGAGCACATAAGTCCTGGTCTCAGGTCTCTGCTCTGGCTCCTGTGGCTCAGAGACTTTAAAGCAGCTCTGCTTGTACAAGTGTCTCCATGTCCGAGCACCAAAGTCCATCTGTGACATGTTAGTGTCATATGAACATCTCACACTCTGAGGAGCTCAGGGACCAACTCCTGCTGGTGCCCAGAGTCACGACTAAACAAGGGGAGTCAGAGTTTCAGGTTCATGCAGCTAAAACCTGGAACAGTCTGAACATGTGAGACAGACTCTTCTGTGACGCTGTTTAAATCCAGACTCTAAAACATTTCTGTTTAACTGTGCAAATAACTGAAAGGTTTTCATTCCGCACTCTTCTCTCCAATTTATGTCTCTCTTTTTTAATTTTAATCTTCATGATTATTTATGTTTTGATTTGTTTTTATTATGATTTTAATGTATTTCTTATTCTGTAAAACACTTTGAATTACTTTGTGTACGAATTGTGCTGTACAAATAAACTTGCCTTGCCTAACGGCAGAGGACCCAAGACCATTTGACCAGAAATTGGTCATTAGGGCTGGTATCATTATGAAGTTGCCGGTACGATACTTATCTCGATACAGTGCACTTTCGATTTGATACGATATATTTCAAATCAATTCAATACAGTTCAATAAAAATAAAGTCTAAATCATGTCTGTGATACTAAAAGTCTTTGTTAATCCACTTCTTCTGGTGCAAAGTTCATATGAAACACAAACATTTTAATCGTCAAAACAGTGAATAGTCAAACTTGTCGCATAAATACGTTTCCTTCCTCTGAACAAACAACAAAACTGTAGCTGGAACAAAATAATTTAGTAAAATAAACCAAAAAGTACTATTGGTGATATATCGATACAGCGGCCCACGATATCGATACTGTATCATCACATTAAGCGATACGATATATCGATATTTTGATATTTTTGCACACCCCTATTCTTCCATCCTTTTATTTGTGCGTCCGATAATGCAGCAGGAGTTTAACATTATCGGGGATAAATACGCGAGGTTACACACTGTGTTTGACGCTACCGTGTTTCTTGCCTCTGACCAAAATATTTCCCAGCAGCAACGCCGGCTTTTAATAACAATGACGTCAGCTGAAACTCGACTATTTTAGAGCCAAAGGAACATTTCCCTGGAAACAAGAGGAGAGCTTTAACAAACTTTGGTACAAACCTTAAACAGTCTCCTGACCACTCCGTCCAGAACGTCCCATTTGGTTTTCCCGCTCACTCCGATGCAGCCGATCAGGAAGCTGCGCCCTCGCCCGTCCTGCAACACAAAACGCTTTAAAGTTACATTTCGTTTGGAGAAGAATCCGTAATAAAACCTCCGTCGAGTCGCTCAGACCTCCGTCCAGTTTGAGTCTTCGTCCAGAGTGACGTAGATCTTCACGTGACGTCCTTCTTTCCTCAGACTCTCCCCGGTGTCGTCCAAAAGCATGTCTGAAAAACACAACGCAGAGTCTGAAAAACACAACGCAGAGTCTGAAAAACACAACGCAGAGTCTGAAAAACACAACGCAGAGTCTGAAAAACACAACGCAGAGTCTGAAAAACACAACAGAGTCTGAAAAACACAACGCAGAGTCTGAAAAACACAACGCAGAGTCTGAAAAAACACAACAGAGTCTGAAAAACACAACAGAGTCTGAAAAACACAACAGAGTCTGAAAAACACAACGCAGAGTCTGAAAAACACAACAGAGTCTGAAAAACACAACGCAGAGTCTGAAAAACACAACGCAGAGTCTGAAAAACACAACGCAGAGTCTGAAAAACTGAAAAACACAACAGAGTCTGAAAAACACAACGCAGAGTCTGAAAAACACAACAGAGTCTGAAAAACACAACGCAGAGTCTGAAAAACACAACGCAGAGTCTGAAAAACACAACGCAGAGTCTGAAAAACACAACGCAGAGTCTGAAAAACACAACTCTGAAAAACACAACAGAGTCTGAAAAACACAACAGAGTCTGAAAAACACAACAGAGTCTGAAAAACACAACGCAGAGTCACTTAAACCTGGATCAGACTCATTTTAAACTAAGCAAAGACTTGACTTAGACTTGGGACTAAACCAGGTCTAAATCAAGACTAAACCAGGACTAAACCAGGTCTATATGAGGTCTAAACCAGGTCTAAACCAGGTCTAATTGAGGTCTAAACTGAGTCTAAAACAGGTCTAAACTGAGTCTAAAACAGGTCCAAACCAGGTCTAAATCAGGTCTAAATCAGGTCTAAACCAGATCTAAACCAGGTCTAAATGGGGTCTAAATGGGGTCTAAACCAGGTCTAAACTGAGTCTAAAACAGGTCTAAACCAGGTCTAAACCAGGTCTAAATGAGGTCTAAACCAGGTCTAAACTGAGTCTAAAACAGGTCTAAACTGAGTCTAAAACAGGTCTAAACCAGGTCTAAACCAGCTCTAAATCAGGTCTAAACCAGATCTAAACCAGGTCTAAACCAGGTCTAAATGGGGTCTAAACCAGGTCTAAACCAGGTCTAAACCAGGTCTAAACCTGGTCTAAACCAGGTCTAAACCAGGTCTAAACCAGGTCTAAACCAGGACTAAACCTGGTCTAAACCAGGTCTAAACCAGGTCTAAACCAGGACTAAACCAGGTCTAAAACAGGATTAAACCTGGTCTAAACCAGGTCTAAACCAGGTCTAAACCAGGTCTAAACCAGGTCTAAACCAGGTCTAAACCAGGTCTAAACCAGGTCTAAATCAGATCTAAACCAGGTCTAAACCAGGTCTAAACCAGGTCTAAACCAGGTCTAAAGCAGGACTAAACCAGGTCTAAATCAGATCTAAATCAGGTCTAAACCAGGACTAAACCAGGTCTAAATCAGATCTAAACCAGGTCTAAACCAGGTCTAAACCAGGTCTAAACCAGGTCTAAACCAGGTCTAAATCAGATCTAAACCAGGTCTAAACCAGGTCTAAAGCAGGTCTAAACCAGGTCTAAACCAGGTCTAAACCAGGTCTAAACCAGGTCCAAACCAGGTCTAAAGCAGGACTAAACCAGGTCTAAATCAGATCTAAATCAGATCTAAACCAGGTCTAAATCAGATCTAAACCAGGAGTAAACCAGGTCTAAACCAGGACTAAACCATGTCTAAACCAGGTCTAAACCAGATCTAAACCAGGTCTAAACCAGGTCTAAATCAGATCTAAACCAGGTCTAAACCAGGTCTAAACCAGGTCTAAACCAGGTCTAAACCAGGTCTAAACCAGGTCTAAATCAGATCTAAACCAGGTCTAAACCAGGTCTAAACCAGGTCTAAACCAGGTCTAAACCAGGTCTAAAGCAGGTCTTACCCAGGCTGGTGGACTCGCTGGTGGTCAGGTTGATGGTCTGACCCCCCGCTGGTGCTGCGCTCGTGCCCAGGGAGAGGCTCTGTGTCGGGGGAGAGGAGGAGACGGAGGCCTGGGAACTCGCTCTGCTGCTCTGGTTCTCCAAACGCAGACGGTCGTTTTCTATCTTCAACTTCTCGATCTCCAACTAAAAAAACAACAACAACGGAAAACATTTAGTCAAGAAACACAAGAAGAACTTTGGATCAAAATGAATCAATCACTCTGTAGTAGTAGAAGTAGTAGAAGTAGTAGTAGTAGTAGTAATTGCAGTGATAGAAGTACTAGCAGTAGTAACAGCAGCATTTGTAGTATTTGTAGTTTCTGTAGTAGTAATACTCCTGATATCTGACCTGCATACATGTCATGGCCATTCGGAGCTGGCCTGAATAGTAGTACTAATAGTAGTAGTAGTAGTAGCAGTAGTATTTGTAGTAGTACTTCTCCTCCTATCTCTCGAAGCTGGTCTGAGTAGTAGTAGTAGTAGTAGTGACAGTAGTATTAGTAGTATTAGTAGTATTAGTAGTAGCACTAGTAGCAGTAAAAATAACAGTAGTAGCAGTAGTAGTAGTAGTAGTAGTAGTAGTAGTAGTAGTGACAGTAGTATTAGTAGTATTAGTAGTAGCACTAGTAGCAGTAAAAATAACAGTAGTAGCAGTAGTAGTAACAGTAGTAGTAGTAGTAGTAGTAGTAGTAGTAGTAGTAGTAGTACCTGCATGCGCGTCATGGCCTCTCGCACCTGGTCTGAGTAGTATTAGTAGTAGTAGTAGTATTAGAAGAAAAGAAAAGAAGGAAAGAAAAACACAGATTCTAGAGCGATAAATCTGACCTGGGCCAGACCAGGATTAAAACTACACACACACACACTTCTGTTTACGGCTGATCCGGGTTTAGACCAAGTCTCTGTCATGAGTCAGACCTGGTTTAGACCTGTTTTAGTCCTGGTTCAGTCCTGGTTCAGTCTTGTTTTAGTCCTGATTTAGTCCTGTTTAAGTCCTGGTTCAGTCCTGGTTTAGTCCTTGTTTAGTCCTGTTTTAAACCTGTCTTAGTCCTGTTTTAGTCCCGGTTTAGACCTGGATTAGTCCTGGTTCAGTCCTGTTTTAGACCTGATTTAGTCCTGTTTTAGTCCTGGTTTAGTCCTGGCTTAGTCCTGTTTTAGTCCTGGTTTAGTCCTGGTTTAGACCTGGTTCAGTCTTGGTTTAGACCCGGTTTAGACCCGGTTTAGACCTGGTTTAGACCCGGTTTAGACCCGGTTTAGACCTGGTTTAGACCTGGTTCAGTCTTGGTTTAGACCTGGTTTAGACCTGGTTTAGACCTGGTTTAGACCTGGTTTAGACCTGGTTCAGTCTTGGTTTAGTCCTGGTTTAGACCTGGTTTAGACCTGGTTCAGTCTTGGTTTTTAGACCTGGTTTAGTCCTGGTTTAGACCTGGTTTAGACCTGGTTCAGTCTTGGTTTAGACCTGGTTTAGACCTGGTTTAGACCCGGTTTAGATCTATTTAGGATCACGTGTGGTTCTAACACTGGGTTCTGGGTTAAACTTGTGGCTCATACTTCACTGTCTGAGTCCTGAGCTCCGGTGCACAAAACGCTCTTCACAACAACAACAACAACAACAACAACAACTTTATTATTTATTCAACTTATTGTTTATTTACTATTTATTTACTTATTTACTTTATTATTTATTTGATGAAAAACTAAATGTATTCACCTTTTCCCCAGTGAACGAGGCCTGAAGAAGAAACCAACGAGACAAGAGACAGAGAAAGACTTACATGTTAATCTACTACTTTTACTGATACTACTACTACTACTACTACTACTACTGCTACTGCTACTACTACTACTACTACTACTACTACTACTACTACTACTACTACTACTACTACTACTACTACTACTACTACTACTACTACTACTACTACTACTACTACTACTACTACTACTACTACTACTACTACTACTACTACTACTACTACTACTACTACTACTACTACTACTACTACTACTACTACTACTACTACTACTACTACTACTACTACTACTACTACTACTACTACTACTACTACTACTACTACTACTACTACTACTACTACTACTACTACTACTACTACTACTACTACTACTACTACTACTACTACTACTACTACTACTACTACTACTACTACTACTACTACTACTACTACTACTACTACTACTACTACTACTACTACTACTACTACTACTACTACTACTACTACTACTACTACTACTACTACTACTACTACTACTACTACTACTACTACTACTACTACTACTACTACTACTACTACTACTACTACTACTACTACTACTACTACTACTACTACTACTACTACTACTACTACTACTACTACTACTACTACTACTACTACTACTACTACTACTACTACTACTACTACTACTACTACTACTACTACTACTACTACTACTACTACTACTACTACTACTACTACTACTACTACTGCTACTACTGCTACGATTACTGTTACTCTTTTATAGCAACACTTCTTATTAGAGCTTGACCGATATTATCGACCAATATGGGCACTTGGAGACATATCGACTCTCGACCTAAATCTCATTGATCTGGGCCGATAGTCGACGTGAGCAGGTTATACGTCGTTATAAATCTTAGAGCCTCTGTATTCTGTCCATTTAATCCAATTTAAAGACAGATAAATGTCCTCATATGTGGCGCCGCATCAGGATTTATCTGCGGAGTCGTTTGTCTGTGTTCGTGACGCCGTACTGCCCCTGAACGCACCACCGGAGTCACGTCACATGACTCATATGTGCTTGTTTACACCAGTGCAGCACTGAGCCGTTGATTTAAACTCTGTTGTGCCTGATCCACAATATTGATGATAAATAAAAGTGAACTTCAGAGCAGCAGGTTGAAAAATGCAATATTTCATGTTTTATATGGAAACAGACACCAACCCCCCACACATGTTTTTGTATTATTTACTAATGTGTCTTTTATTTTGGATGAAATACACACTCTGACCAGTAGATGGTGCTGTGAGCGCTACTGTTGGGACTAATAATAATAATAATGCATCAGTTTTATACAGCGCTTTTTTGGACACTCAAAGACGCTTTACAGAGCGTTATTCATTCACTCCTGTAGCCACAACTGCCCTGGGGCAGACTGACGGAAGCAAAGCTGCCAATCTGCACCATCGGCCCCTCCGACCACCACCATCACTCACACACACACCACTTTCATAATAGGCAATGAGGGTGAAGTGCCTTGCCTTTTTTTTTTTTTTTTTTTTATGACTATCACCCACTGTGGACCTGATCTTCCCAGTGTTTCCCATCCAAGTCCTGACCAGGTCCAGTCCTGCTGAGCTTCTCAAATCTGACGAGATCAGACTTTGACAAACTGATATGACCTGACGAGAGGGACACAGGCGCAGCTTCAGAATTAAACATCTACCCACAGCAGCACCAACCTTTAGGCTACAGAGTCTCACCCAACCTGCTGCTACTGCCCAACTTTCCCCTCGGCCCGACGCCCGCAACACCACAAAACTACTGCTGTTTTTATCAAAGTGCGAACGCAGAGAAGAGACGATGTTCCACAGGCAGAGCACACACACAGCTGCTGTCATTATGTTAGTTTTACGGATGATTGTTTTGAGTCTGGATTAGGACACTTGTATCTGCAGACTTGTGATCTGAGAGGAGCCTGTGTGAGTGTTTTTGGTTGTTTCTCGTTGTTTCGCTGCTGTCGCCCTCACGTAAACCGTCTGTTTTCTCACATTGTTCTAGTGTAAAGTGACTCTAGTGTCTCTGCACATGTGACTGGACCTGCACTGACGTGTGAATGATCCACATTTACACATATCATTAATTACCGCAGCATTTACACTAAAGTCTGATAGTGGGAGTTTTTCATTTCTTTACGGACTAGAATGTGATGCAAATTTTCCGACCTACTGTTTTAAATACGACGTAAAGACGCAGAATTTCAGGAAATGTCGCCTAAACAAACACAATTTAAAATCCAGTAGAGTAAAGTTTTAGAATCAGTTGAACATTTAATGTGAATTTTTAGGTCATTAAATATATCGGCAGCTCCAAAGCCTCGATTATCGGAATCATATCAGATCCAAAAACATCCGTATCGGTCAGACCCTATTTCTTACTTCTACTCCTACTTTTCCCCTGCAGAATAGAGCTTTTTTTGTTTTGTTTTGTGTACTTTGGTAACAGTCCTGAGTCCTGGAGTATTGGAGTACTTGAGTATCGGAGTATTCGAGTACTCTTACCCAGTTCTTCTTGTTCTTCTTCCGCGCGTTGGCGTCGGCGTCCAGGTTGGATCCGATGCTGGAGTGGCTGGTGATGCTGCTCACGCTGTCGGACGAATGCTGCCGGCGAATCCTCAGGTCCGGGGTCGAGGTCTGGTTTGGACTCGGACCGGGACTCGGACCTGGACCTGGACCGGGACCTGGACCGGGACTCGCGTTGGTCTGGGTCTGGGGTCTGGACTCGGACTTGTTCTGGGACTGAGGGCTCCCGTTTTGAGCAGCTACAAAAAACACAAAATGACAATAAAAACTTTGAAACGACAGAAGGTGGTTTTCAACATTAAACGGTTGAATTTTCTTTTCTATTTTCTGAGTTTTAGTCTCGATTTAGATCTGATTTTCGAGCACTAGATTAAAGTACCGTATTTTCCGGACGATTAGGCGCGGCCTTAAGACTCCAAAAACGACTGCGCCTTATAATCCGGAGCGCCTTTTATATGAATTTACGCGAGTGTTCCAGTACGACTTCAGTAAACGACAAAGCCGCACCACTTGCAGCGTAGACAGGAGCATTGCGGAGTGATACGTACTGTGATTCCTCATTTTTCCTGGAGAAGATGAGCGACTGGCTGCGAGAAGTTTACCTTAAGAGACCGGATGGCTTTTTCCACACATCTCCGTCCCTATTGATCTGCGACTCCAGCAGTAACAGGTTGTTGTCCAGACGCAGCCGCGATTCATTTTCGAATATTTTACCAACAATGGCCAATACAGAGAATGAAACACACGAAGATCAGAGCAAGAACCAGTGTGCGAACGTGTGGCTCCAGAGTGAGTCAAAAATTGGGGGTGTGTCTGTCTGTTCAGGACCTGCACAGAGACGACCCGGTGTTCCCCGTGATCACGTAGCAACCAGCATTTGTTATTTTAGGCTTTAATTAACCAAATAATTTCATGGCAATAGGCAATAGCCTATTCAATTGATACACCTTTAAAAAGTCCCTGTTTTTAGCCTAGTGTGAGAAATACAGTCGGACTAGATCCAAACCAGAGTCCTGAACCAGTGGGAGCAGCTCCAGTTCTGTCCGGGCTCAGAGGAGCTGGAGCGGGGAGCCTCGACCTGAGGAAGCCCGTCCCCGGGAAGAACCAAATGCGCGGAGGACGGACGCTCAGAACAACATATAACAAACCAAACTGGACTCACGCTTCTGTCCGGATGCTGCACCACCTTGGAACCAGCCGCGGTTCTTGAGCGTGGAGAACCGGAGCAGCCTGCACAGACCTGTAGTCCACAGCGCATTCTCACTTTCCCCGCACAGAACCAGCGCGCAGACGACTGAACGTTCCCGCTTAGACCCAGTCCACTGCGCACTGGTCTTTCTCGCCACCGTTTGGAACCAGCACATGGAGGATGGAGCCTCCGGACCATCTGACCAACGCTTGTAGGACGACAGAAGACCAAGGACCAGACCCCAGCCCCGTCCTGAGGAGCTGCGCTACTGTGAGCGCTGTTGGCTGCTGCTGTTACCTGAGGACTGATGTGCGGTGAGTTTACAAAGTTCTACATGTTGCTGTTTTATGAGTTCATGGTGATAATTTGAGATGAGGACGGCCCGCGGTATTAACAGGAACATCGGTGTTGATAACTGGAGTATCGCTGTTTTCCCGGGAAACAGAGACACGTGAATCGAACCAGCCGGTGTGAACGCAGACACACTGGAGTCTATTTACTACATAATAACAACTGTATTGCCTGGTGCGACCAAATAATCGAACTAGTGGTGTGAAAACGACCTAATGTGTTATTTTTAGTTATAACCGAACAATTATGAGTTATTGTGAATACGCTGACAATTAGTTCGTTCGTTTTTTTTGTTTTTTACGTGTTACAAATGAACAAAGTTGAGAGTTAACGTAACGAGTAAACGCGTTAAATAAAGTTTGACTGATTTATCCAACTGTTGTGTTTCGTTTAACTGCCTTATTGTCCGGTGCGGTTTATATGTGAAAAACGTTCGGGAAAACGACAGTGCGTCTCATAACCCGGCGCGAATAATCACCCGGAAAATACGGTAGATAAAAGTTTTGTCTAGTTTTAAGTTCTGGTTAAATTTATTTGAGAGTTTTGAGCCTCAAAGGTGGAAAAACGCTCGAAAATCTCTGAGAACTCGTCTGATTTTTCCCTCATTTTAAAGTGACTGAGAGATTATTTGAGAGAGTTCACTTATAATGAGAGCTTAATGTCTCTCACTCTTCTCTCTCTCCACTGTTTCTATCTCTCCACCTCTCTCTCTCCCTCTCCTGTCTCTCTCTCTCTCTCACTCTTTCCTCTGTTTCTCTCTTGTCTGTCTCGCTCTCGTCTGTCTCTCTTTTCTCCGTCCTCTGTCTCTCTCATTTGTGTCTCTCTTCTCTTTCCTCTTTCTCATCCGTCTCTCTCTCTCTTTCCTCCGTCTCTTTCGTCTGTCTTTCTCTCTTCTCTCTCCTCTCTCTCTCCTCTGTCTCTCTCTGTCTCTCTGGTCTGTTTTTCTCTCTTCTCTCTCATCTGTTTCTCTCTTGTCTGTTTCTCCTCTGTCTCTCTTCTCTCTCGCTCTCTTCTCTCTCTTCTGTTTCTCTCTTTTCTCTCCTCTGTTTCTCTCTCTCCTCTCTCTCTCACCACTCTCATCTGTCTCTCTCTCTCTCTCTTCTCTCTCGGCTGTCGCTCTCTTCTCTCTCCGTTCTCTCTCACTTTCTCTTCTCTTTCTCTCTCGTCTGTTTCTCCGTCCTCTGTCTCTCTCATTTGTCTCTCTCTCTCTTTCCTCCGTCTCTTTCGTCTGTCTTTCTCTCTTCTCTCTCTCTCCTCTGTCTCTCTCTGTCTCTCTGGTCTGTTTTTCTCTCTTCTCTCTCATCTGTTTCTCTCTGGTCTGTTTCTCTCTGGTCTGTTTCTCTCTCGTCTGTTTCTCCTCTGTCTCTCTTCTCTCTCGCTCTCGTCTGTCTCTTCTGATTCTCTCTTCTGTTTCTCTCTCTCTCTTCTCTCTCCCGTGTCCCTCTCTTCTCTCTCTCTCTTCTTTCTCCTCTTTCTCTCGCCTTTTCTCT